AGCAAATGGGTCATTGGTTTCTGATGTCGACATCGCCCAATGAAGTGGGAGACGAAGGACCTGCTGAGCTCGGCGAAGGAGCGGATGGAGGAGGGCCTGAGCTTGGAGAACCACTGGCGAGCAGGCCCTTTCAAGGTGGTAGAAAAGGCTCTACACATTATCTCCTCAGGCACATTATGGAGTTGCATAAGGGATTTGTAGGTATCCAGGTGGTCTAGGGGGTCCTTGGTGTCATCGAAGATCTCGATGGTAGACATCTTGAACTTCGAGAGTAAGGGATAGTTAACGATATCAGTAATGAAAGGGGTATCGGTGCGCCTTATCAAGTAGTCCACGGTTTCAGGCACCTGGGCCTTGATTGCGTTGAGGGCGTCGCTGAGTTGGTTTTGCACCTCTCTGATCTTCTCGTCCCATTAGTCGGGGACATCCTCTGTTGGGTGGTGGTTCTGGCTTCCATAGTCCCCATATTAGCTATCTCCTTCTTCGTCCTCCTGCGCAGGTACGTGTGGAGGGGTAACATGTGAGCTCCCTGCGCGTTGAGGAGGGACCACTGGGAGAGGGGCGCCTTGGTGTGGCCTTGGGGCATTCTGGCGAGGGCCCCCATGGTGAGGGGCTGCCTGACACCCAGGAGGAAAGGGTTGCTGCTCCTCTTATGTTGGAGGTAGTAGGGCTCCTCCTACAGGGTGAGGGGCGACACCTCCTTGGATGAGCATTAACTGGATGATTTGTTGGTTCTGTTTTACTAGTAGTTGCATAGTCTGTAGAAGTTGTTGTCCGATGACAGGGGTCGCCGTAGCAAATGGTTCCGATGGTGCAAGGAGAAGCAGAGCCTCTTCCCGGGGGGTCGGGTTGTTGTCTCCCGGCTGTTGGCTCATTGATCTGATAGTAATTGTCTTGGATCAAAAGAATAGAAAAACTAGTCGTCTTCCACATACGACACCAAACTGATGATGCACAAATCGGTCTCGTGCAAGATCAATAGTCAAGAATATAAATAGAGGTAATCAATGAACAATAAACAAACAATTAATGGTAAAACAGTAAATAATGGAGCTAACACAGGGATTTATAATTGTTCGATCTGAGTGATCTACTCCACTCTCGGGAACAGCAGCGGTGACCGGAGATCTTTATTAATGAATAATGTTGCCAGGAGAACACTCCGGGAGAAATACAATACTTTGGCAGAGAGAGAGAGAGAGAGAGAGTAATGTGTATAGGAATGTGTAGTATGTATAGGGATCTCAAGACTATGAGAGCATGCCTCTATGTGGAGAGGGCTTATATTATATAGGCGTGATGAGGTGGTGAGACAGTGACGTGAGGAGTAAGACTTCTATTGTTTTAGTAAGTACAACTATGATAGGAGATCTTTGTGCCTATCCAGGTATTTTCTCCCTCGTGCTCCTATTTCTTCAGAGGAGGGTCTTAAATTGAACTAAGTTCGTACTTGACTTTGGGCTTGGACCCGGAGTAATCTTGGGCTTGCATTAGAGTGAAGTGAGGAAGGGAAGATGGCCAAGACATGAACAACGCCTACTTGAGGCCACATGGGCGGCGCCCATTTGGTCCCTTGGGTGGCACCCCCTTTGAGGATGGGCTTGGTCTCTGTTTTGGACTCTCACAAAGTGACAACCGGAGACCAGGAGACATAATTAAAGTCATTCAACAAGTCTGAGGAGAGTCTCATACTAGGATTAGAGTCAGATTCGATCGTTCCGTTATTTATTCTGTTTACACGTTGAGTATGTAATATGAAAAATCTAATATTTAAGGATATAAAATAAAAAATTTTGATTCTTTGAGGCACAAAGTGTAATTCTCCCAAAAAAGAGAAGGGTTGATATTAACTTGCACTCTAAGGGGATGTTTGGTATGTGGGTTTGAGACTAAACCCTCTTAAACCTATATTTGGTAACTATAGATTTAGCCTGTGTTTGAAATCCGACCTAGTCATGAAACCCTTATTCATGGGTTTCATAGAACTTACGGGGGTGAGTTTCATATGTGGGTTTGGAGTTTCACATTCAAATGACTTTTATACCCCTCATATATCCATACTAATGTTTGGAATAAATTAGTTAAAGGGTAAAATAGTAATTTAAATACAAATATATTATAATAATAGTCATATATCCCTGCGCATGTCAAACATAGGTATGAAGAGCATTTAATATTGAATCTCATTTTTGGTCAAACTCAAGTTTAGACAAACCAATCCAAACCTCGGCCAAAAATCATACCAAATAGGCCCTAAAAGATCACTTAAATCTCAATTTATACTATTAAAGTTTTAAAATATCAATTTACACCCTAAAAGACATAAATTCGTATCAACGTGTACCTAAAATTAATTGTCATCTATTTTGCCATTAAAAAAGTTTAGACTAATTATAAATTGCATCCTTAAAGTTTAAATATTTCAAATTTATGATCCAAAAAAATTTCTTCCATTAATGCTCGTTAAATAACTTTCAATTATATCGTGTCATAATATTTTTGTCCTATATTCGAGTCAATAAAAGAAAATTCAAATTTAAAAAAATTTTAAAAATATCTATTTTTTGTTTACAATACTGGTTAAACAACTATTTTTTGTTTATAGTTAGATAAGAATCTTTTGACTATTCAATCAAATTAAAATTAGATATGAATAACATAATTGTAGACAAAAAATTGTTATTTAATAAGTACTATAGGTAAAAAATAGGTATTTTTATAATTTTAAAAAATATTATATAGTATTATATAAATTGTTGTAAATGTGAAATATACGACACAACACAATTAACTCGACACGAAAATATTTTATGTTAAAAATATTTTTTTATCAACTTAAACACAAGACGAAAATGATACAATATGATACATTAAAGGTATTTAACGAGTATTAATGAATGAATTTTTTCTTAATCATAAACATGAAATAATTAAACTTTGAAAGTGTAATTTATAATTATCTCAAATTTTTTTAACGGTAAAATAGATGACAGCGACCGAAGGAAGCAAGGCACCGATTCGATCTAAGCCACTGCCGCATCAATGAATCTATATACCAGCGCCAAGTTTGATAGAAAACAGGACTTGAAGGCCTCTAAACCCTGTTTGGATAAAGGTAATTTTGATTAAGAATAGGATTCTCATTTCTAAATCGTAAATTATCATTTTTAAATAGTTAATTATTTAGTAATTTAATTTGGAAATAAGATTATTACAATAATCTAATTCCCAATAATAGTGAGTATTCTAAACTCATGGTTAATAGTGATAATTTCACGCCCGCATTCATCGGGTATTCTATAAAAGGAATAAAAATTTTAAAATGAAACTCATTTTAAAATTAATTTCATTTTAAAAATTAAGTTCTTATCTTAAAATTAATCTCTTTTTTAAAATTAAGTTCTTTCTTAAAATAATTTTGACAATGACATTAATTTACACACTAGATTACTAAAAATAACTAAACATTAAATATGACATTACTATAGTAATTAAAACTCAAATATCTCGTTTCTTTCGTTCAAACGCGCCCTAAAAATCAGGTTCAATGTGCCCATGAAGCACTACTAGAGACCAGTCAATTTCTCCAAATAAAATTCGTAGTTGATGCTAATATACCAAAGCTACAACAGCGTCCAACTTGTCGAAGGACCTCTTGATGTTTACCACTTTTTGCATGATATCACTTACTTGACAGAAAATTGGAGTAATCCCGCTGTTGAAATCAAATCAAAGAACATTAAAAGTAAAAGAACAAGAGAGAACAAGTTAATGTGGTTCGGCACTAGTGTGCGGAGAGGGAAGGTTGAAGTTACTTGCATTGATAGGTGGCCTTGAATGAGTCCGTCAAAATATATAGGAGAAACACCACCAATTAAAGCAATGTCACCATCATAATCAACCACAATTTCAGCCCATGATTTTACCACCATCTGTTTCAACCACCTTAGATCAAGCTCAATGGAAAGATGAAATATAGCTGTTGGACATGGTTGGATTCAAGATAATTATATGATAATTGATGGTGTTACTTGAGAATTAAGAGTTGATGTCCCTTTTTTTTTTCATTTCAAGATAACAGCAGAAGCATCAAGAAATTCACCCAACTTCTCTCAAATGGATCGACTCTACATTATTCCAATGATAAAGAAAATAATCTTCAGTTCACATTATTCCGATTACAAAAAATTAATCTTCAATTCAATCTCCCTGGAGCTCGCGTGCACTTCTTTCAATCTCTCACTTTAACTACCTAGTTGGCAAAACTTGGGACAACTTCAACAAACTTTAGAGTTGATCTTGCAAACATATTCAGGGCCGGAAGAAATCCATGAAGCAAATCAGAATTGTTCCAAAACAATCTTGCGCATGAAGTCCTCTGGCGCTGGAAAAACAGTAAAAGCAAAAAATATAATTAATCAAGTTTCCAATTTAGGGCAATCATCAAGTCTGTTGTAAGGAGTGAAAACCCCCGGCAATTTCCAAGAACAACAGGCCTTAAATCGCTGAGCTAAACTCATAGATTGAAACCTACTTCTTGTCATCAACAGTTCTATGAAATACCTTATGAAATACGGGGGCAAAATTTCTTACTTCTTAATTTTATTGATCTGATGTAGTAGAGAATGAGTACCTAATCCACCAGTGAACAATTTGAACTGACCAACCGCCTGCCTGATGAACATTTCAACGCCACTCACCACTATGGCTCCCGCCTCTGAAGCCTCTTGCAATAGCAGTGTGTTTCTTGGTGTGTAAACCGCATCCAAAACCAGCTCATATGATCCCAAGACATCCTAAAAGCAGTTGAAAAGGGGAAGATTTGAGGGTCTCTATTATTTATCTGGATACACACACGCGTGCACACACACATACACACAGAGACAGAGATAGAAACCTTAGAAACAGGAGTCTGATTTGTATTTGGCTGCATGCCCACAGCTGAAGCATTTGCAAGAATCATTCCATTCTCAGGGCAAAATTTGTCTAGACATTCATATGGCAGAGCTTCACCAGAAACTGCTTGTGCAAGAGCCTTTGCTCTCTCTTTGAAAAGAAGGATCAGAGTCTGGAGAAAAGGAAACTGCCTATAAACGTTAAGTGGAGAGTTTTCAGTTTTTACCAAAGTTACGATTGAAAATGACAATCCTTGCTCCTCTGCTTTTGGCACCAAAAGCCATTGCTCTTGCAGCACCTCCTGCTCCAACCAAAACGAACAGTTTCCCAGCAACAGGAGAAGCATGAGATGCTTGCCCATTGGTAATTCGTCTTTCTGATCAACCCATAAATGCGAATTAGCTTTCTATTGTCGGACTAGCCTGGTGCTTAAGTTATGTACTCCATACAAATAAAGAAATTTAAATATCAGCTATAATTAAATTGGCTAAAGCAGAATAAACCGAGTTACATACCAAATTATAAACAAAATTTCTAATCCATTATTTCAAGAGCCTCAGTCCTTTTGAAATCAACTGAAGCTTTTATAATTTTCGTAAAGATACTGCTCATATTTTAAATTAGAAAAACAATAGAGATGCATTACATTAAATCAATAAAGAAATGACATATATATATATCCTCCATGGTATGATAATTCTTTCAATTTTAGAATAGGTGATAGACTGATAGTACCTCTAAGTGCATCCTCAATTGCAGATATACAAGCCTCGCAATCTGTATTGTAACCAACCAGCTTCCCATCAGTAGGCCTCCTTACAATGGTGTTTACAGCTCCAATGGACTGATTGGCAAAGCATCGGACAGTTTGAAAAGGTTTATCAATGACACATTAAAAACAGCAAATACGAAATTTTGTGCCACAGTATTCAATATCAATGGCAGGTAATGAAGACTCTAGGTCTTAGGGAGGAGGAATTAATTAATACTCAATTCAAGACACTAATCATAGATGAAAGTGCCAATTGGGCACTGTGCCATCTATCTCAACCTGACCAGTCCCGTTTAAAGTGCTAAATCCTTAATATCTTATACACATAAATCTTATTTCTTATTGTGTAGCCCTAGAGAAAGCAAAATGATAAAGAATAAGTAGCCTTAGTTGAATCAAGGTAGTTGAGTTGAGGCCCTATGAAATTGAGTGTAGAGAGAGATGAACTCAAATGTCCCGGCATGAGAATTAACTGAAATAGTACAAGCACCAGAGTTGGTTCAGTTTGGCACCATATCATATTTTCAATAGGAAATTGAGAACAAAAGCTCATTTGCCCCCTAAGCCAAAATACCCTAGCCTGAACAGGTTACTAATTACACATTAATCATAGTAAATAAAGGGAAAACATAAAAGGGAGGATTGAAGGCTGAATCTTATTCACACACACAAAAGAGGGGTTTTTGTTGTTTCCCTTTTCCTCTTTTCCTTAGGGGAGAACTTTTGGGCACTACAATGAAATAACAAAATTCATTTCTCGTAATGTGGTCCTCTTTACAAAACACACATCAGATTGCAAAGTTTTCAGACCTTAGCTAGGGGATGGACTTCATCACAACACTCTACTGCTGCTTCCTTATGTGGAATTCCAACACTACAAATCCACCAAAATGAAGAATACCATTCATCAGAAAAATTTACTCAACAAACTGTGTTCTATTTAAAAACAGAGACATCTAGTTTGATGATAATGATTCACAAAAAATACCACAAAAATTCCCTTATAATTAAAACAACTCTAGAACACCCTATAAAACATAAAAGAAAATATGAAGAAACTATATTCACTTCCTGCCCCCGGGGCGGGAGGGGGGGGGGGGGAGAAAGAAAATCTATTCAAAATGATTACAAAGATAAAGTAAAGCTCCATGACTTCCGTGATTCTACATCAATGGGGCATGGTTTCCTTGCCAGTTACTCAGAACTAATGAATCCTTCAAAAAATGAAAAGAGAAATAACTTGTCAAACTATATAGGATTTTTTGAGCCTTAGAATTTTGCTGTCAGCATCATGTATTATTCAGAATCTCAGATACACAAGCTGCAGCAATTACCTTTAAAAATACCAGTCACCAATTATTGACATATATGACCAGGGGAACAAGAGACAACTTATAAGTACAACTAACAAAAAATTTCTCCTGTGTTCCTCCATTTGGAAAATTTTGCATACCTGAAACCCGCAAAGTCGTTGCAAGAATACACCCTAAAGAATTCTTTGACATTGTCGACAAGCAACGGGACGTAAATTCCATTATATCTTGTATGTCTAAAGGCAGGATTATGCAGAAGGGGGCCTTTGCTATGGCCTACTGGATTTGAGATGACACCAAAAACTTTTGTATCCACATCCATATATTCGAGCTTATAAACTTGTTTGATGCTAGCTAGGGGTGGCAAGCCAGGAATGGAATTGCCTCCCAAAGATCCAGAGACTAGAAAAGCACCATATTTTGGGCCCAATAATTGGCTTATAAGACCTCTATCTCCCACGGCTCTGGCTATTAGTGGTATCTGCAGGTAGAGCAACCAAAGTTAAGTGAATTTGTACTGTTAAACTTATGAAGGGGAAATGGAAGGAACTTAATAAAGGTATGGTATAAGGCAAAAGGAAGGAACAAAACAACCCCATTTCTGCCATGTCTGATGTCCAGTGATGGATTACCAACACCACAATCAGATGCACTTTTGCACAATATTGAGAAAAAAAGTAAAATGTTGTACAATGCTATTTAATTTGTCAATTATTATCAAGACGGAGTTTCTCTGAGCAAAACATTTAGAAACTTTTATAGCGTCGTAAATATTTAATAAGAGTAAGGCAATAAGGTGAACAAGAGTTACAATTATTTGCCATAACAAAATGGAAAATCTGTTAAGTTCCCAAGTGATAACAAGTACCTGACAATGGGTAAGCATATGGAAAACTGGTGCAACGTCTGTAATGTAAACAACATCAACCACAAGTTTGATGGCATCTGCCCCTGTGCATTGCAAGCATGTGACCAGGTTGCCAAGTTTCTCTTTAGAAAGATGCCCACCTTGTATATAGCTTGATACAATTAGCTTGCTATTTGATCTTTTGTTCATAAGCTCAGTCATGACAACATTAGAAGCCACCTGGAAAGTTCAGTGTGTTCAAGAGAGAACTTAACGAAACTTTCAGCTTAAAAATGTTAAATATCACATACTACACAATTGGTTAAGTGAGAATATGGAAATCAGGATCAGCTTGTTGTCTTTCATATAAAAGTCATATACAAAAGCCAGTAGTGTGGCATGATGGCATCAAGAAAAATTACCAAGAAAAAGACTCCAACAAACTCTTTTTACAAGAATAGATAGTTCTTTAAGACAGGAAAAAACAACATATGAAGATATAAAATGAAATCAAAGGCACTAGGAATGAAATCAATTGTACAATCTGAAGTTCATTTTAACAAATGCTCGATGTTATCAAATTATCACCAATGATAATCAACTTCATAGACAGGTGCAAAAGAAATTTGGCTATAATGCAAGTGAAAGAGGTATCTCTTCTTTGCCTCAATCCGAATATCCCATTTTTACATGTGGTTGCTCCTCTGGAAACAGAGGCAGGGATGTACAACATACCTCAGGAGTCAGGATGCTACAAATTGAAGACACTAGACTTGTTACTTCATGAGATAGATATACATTCATTATGTGTCTGCAATCCCATGGACTTGAATAATATGTGCACACTCCGGGAATATAAAATCTTATGAGACTATCCCTCCATTGCAACATTTAGGAGGAAACTTATATCATGATTCCAAACTACCATAACAAATTTACTTAAAAAGTATCAGACAATAAATAACTGCAATTAATTTTGCCAATAATCCAATTAGGGCCGATAATTAGGTCGAGCCAGTTGAACTCATTTTTCTAAGTAAACTTAAAAAATTGGTTAAGTTTGACTAGTTTTGAAATGAGTTCGAACTCGAGACGAGCCTCTAGGCTTGTTTTTATAAACTAGATTAAAAAATTATTCAATCAAAGTCCAAAACAATTCAAATTCGAACGGAACCCGAATGGCTCGGTTCGAAACCCAATTGAGTGGAAGTCATGTGGCATAGAAAGCGGTGTCCATGTTGGACTAGATTCCTTAATGACAGTGTTAACTTGGGGGGTCTGATTATAGGTATGGCGAATGAGAGGACCCTTGAATTCTCTGTAGCTGGGTGAGAGAGAGAGAGAGAGAGGGATCAGATTAGTTAACCAACCTCAAGCTCAATTTCGACGAATTCGACATTTAGTTGGAGGGCGAGTTGCAGAACTTGCAAACATGTCTTCTTGGAGTCACCTCTGCAAAATGTCCTTTGAGAATTTGATTCATCCAGAGACATGTCAAAAATATAAAAAATCAGTCATTCATGTTGAGGCAAGCAAAATCATCCAAACTGCAAAAATAAAAAATGAAAAAATCGATTAACTAATTAATACTAGAATTTACTGATAATTTAATAATTACAATTATTAAGTCCATATGTACTCAAAAAAAACTTTACAGCCACCGACAATAGATGTGCATTTGTGTCGGTAATCAACACGATTGATTGATAGATTAACTTTTGTTCAATTTTTCCCACAGATTTTTGTCCAACAATTAGTAGGTGAAAGGGACATGAAAGCGATTGCAAGAGGAATCAAAGTATTGCACCCCACGTGAAACGGCACTTAATTATATGCCCCGTAGACATAAATAATTGATACAAACAATACAAGACATGCCTTATGCCTTGATTACAAAACTGCTGGCCCAGCTTCACTTACGTCTGGTTCATATCCCATGGGCCACCGCCTTGATGTGTTCTACCGACTCTCCACTCTTCATGCAAGGTAAGCTGCCGCTCACGTGTTTGCAATAAAAAAAAAAAACTACTTCACAGTCCCCACCCATACCCCTCTCTGTCTCTCTCTCTCTCACACACACACCAGGTGTCTTCTTGGTTCTTTGATTCCCCAGTTATTTGCTTCAGGCACTCCAACAACAAACAGGTGAAAGAAATACCGAGGGGGAGTAGATTGAACTATATTCTAGAGAACTCAAAGTGGTAACTTAAGTGGTAGATGGACGAATTATAAATTCAGAGACAAAATGTGCATAAAATGGTCCAAACATCTTTTACAGTAAAAAAAAAAAAAAAAAATCCTATATGCCAGAGCTGCAGTGAGGGCCTTTTAAGCCTTTGCCATTCATGTCCTCCTTTTCCCTTATGTGAGTTCTTTGTCAGACTCCCCTCCCTCGAAAGAGAAGGAAAAAGAAAGAGAGGGAGGAGAGAGAAGAAATGAAAAGATAAGAACAAATAGGAAAAAAAAAAAAAAGGGTACCTGAAAGAGACGATTGCAGGGAGAGTCCTTTGTTTGAGGAGTTGTTCAACCTCAGAAATGTGGGAAAAGGACATGGAGTTTATACAGAGTTCCACTAAATCTGCACCTTCTTCCTTTGCTTTCTCCATGGAAGATAACATTTCTTCCATGGTTTCACATTCTAATATTGCGCACACCAAGAGCTCGCCCTTGAAGCCCATGCTTGCTCGTGTGCTTGTGTGAATGTGTGCGAGAAGAGAGTGGGGGTAGTTATATGCTTGTATAAAAGCATAGCCAGATAATAGCCAAGCTTCCTTATATAATAAGCACGATCGGGCTGTGACATGCTCTGATTTGGTCCCTTTACTTCAGCTACGTCTTATTTTTTCAACAAGCACCCAAACTTTATACTTAAAAATCAAAACTCTAATAAACATAAACAGATACCATCATTCAAGATTTAATTAGATCTTAAAGTTGAAAACAAATACCCTTGATGGGACACTTTCTATTAGCTGGACTAATCATAAACGGTCAAAAATTTCACAATCATCACAAGAGAACAAAGGGAGAAAAAAAGAAAAAGAAAAAATGACAACCGTGTGTGTAGTAGCATGCCAAAAGAATAACGATACACGAATTTAAAAATTAAATTTTAAAGTAGTAGATTTGATAATTACAATCATTGAATAGGTAATGAGACCCACAGTAAAATCAATGATTGTAATTATCAAGTCTAGTTTTTAAGTCCATGTAACATTATTCCTACCAAAAATATCTTTTGAGGTAAGAAAGTACTACGGCCGTTAAAAATGCCTTTCGAAAGGAAATTTTTTTGGATTATTTATGTGGTTTGTCCGACTTAACTAATAAAATGTATTTTTTAGGGGAAAAACTTTAGAAGAATGAAATCGTGAATACATATGGACACGTAAAATGAATAATATCCTGACAATTTGAAATGTGGTCTTGCATTCTTTGACTATCTAATCTTAAAATCAAACCCCTTATTTTGATCCGAAAGATTTATACCTCTCAATCAAACACTTTAATCAGAAAACAATTAGTACAAGTCCTTTCAACCTTATCAAATTGAAGAATTATTGCTTAGTTCAGTAGTCACAAACATTTTTTTGATCAAAATCCTTTGAACCGTAAAAAAGAATGATTTGCACCTTTTTTTTTTTTTGTCTTTTTAGGTTTTCATTAATTAAATTTTTTTAGGAGTATAGAATAAGACAGCCTTATTAATAAAATGAACAATTTACATGTGCTAGATTATACATTACAATTTACATGTGCTAGATTATACATTACAAATCTTTCTCATGGCATGGCCCTTGATGTAGCAGCCTTCTCTGCTTTGATGTGGCGATGGCTTGTTGGTTACGAGAGATGGCTGATAAAGATCGATGCAAAATCTTTCTTTTGCTCATCTTCAAGAAGAATTGAAATTCGGAGCACATGTTAAATGTAAAATTCTCTTTAAATTAAGATTTTAGGGGTGTGTGTCTGTGTGTGAGAGAGAGGGAGAGTTTTTTCATTAAATCACAATTCGGACTGTGTGCAGAGTCAGGTTGTTGAAGATTCCTTTAAGATTAGTTTGTACCATAAATAAATGAAAAAGGCTTGCAAGAGTACAAGTTTTGTTTCTCTGGTGCCAATACCTTACTCCTTACTTAAAAGATTCAACAGAAAAGCCATGACCACTTTTGCCATTTTATTCCATATTCCATAATTTTTCAATAATATAATTCTCCTTTTCCTAATTCAATAAAAAAGTAATATGTGCAAAATTTCTTTATCCTATTATTTTATCTTATTTTGTTATTTTCCATATCAACTACTATAAATACATAAAAATTCATTATTGAAGGTAACGTTTGATGTGATATTAATTTTTTTTTTAGTACAATATTCATGAGTGTTCAAGTCAATTTACACCCATATCTACTAATCTTCTCTTCTGTTCGATCAAAATTATAACATTCACATCGGGATTAAAAAATTCATGAGGATCTTATCCCAAAAAATTGCCAAAATTCAAATATAAAATAAATAAATTTATAATTTATCCTTATTATTATTTGAACTATCCCTAAAATTTTAAAAAATTTACTTTTAACATACAATAGTACAACATATTCTTTAAACGTCGTTAATTTGGTATTCTGTGGGACCACTGATTTATAATTAAAAATTTTATCACTTTTATTGTTATGAATATTTTTATCAACTATTTTTATAACTTTTTTGAAGTACAAAAAAAATATTATTTTTGTTATTGATTTACCATATTTGTAAGTATTTTTATCACTATTATGATAGTTATTTTTACTATTTTTTTAAGGACTATAAGAATGATAAAAATACTTATAAATATAGATAAAAAATATAAAAAACATGATAAATTTCGGTACAAGATAAAGTGAAATCCAAAACAAAGAAGTCGCTGACTTGAGTAAATACAAAATGTGACGGAGGAACCTCCGTCACGGGCTTGTTCAGCTACCAGTCAAACTCACTATGAGAATCAACCTAATTAATTTTGTGTCCCATTAGGTATCGTAAATTATTTTTTATAAGATATTTTTATTTTTTAGTCAATAAAAATACATCATATACATAATTATTTATTTTATAAAATTTTAATTAATAATTATAAATTATTTAATTCAAAATTAACGACCAAAAATTGGTACCATAACTTTTTCCGTTACAGGACATAAAATAAAGTAGTTAAAGTCAGCTGTCATATCATTTGAATTTTAAATTTGGTCAATGTAACATTATTCTTTTCGTTAATACCTCTTTCTCTCAAAGTTCGGGGCCTATAATTAGTATGTGGATGATTCTACAAGTTTGTCAAACCCACCTTCACCGGAAGTTAGAGAATGGTAATCTCAGAGTGTAATGCTTTTATTAAACCTATCCTTCTCCTGATAGAGACATATAAAAGAAATGAAAAAAGAAGAAAAAAAAAAACTCGTTCTGCAATCAACTGATATGTAACAAAATTATTGTTGGTCGAGGAACTTAGGCCTCTTTAGCCATAAACCAGACCACAAGCTAGGAGGACACACACTCTTCCATATGGAGTACATAAAAGTAAATTTAGTTTGGTACACTCTTAACACTGTTGTGTACAGCTACGTAAAGTATAAACATGTATGGACGGACACACCTGATATAATTATTGGGCTACGAGGACACTCTTACAGCAACATCTTGATATCCTTGGCTATGTTTTGAGCATCAATGGCAGCTCCATAAAATCCTCTCCTCGACAGTCCAGCACAGTACAGTCCCTTCTCTCCCTTCCAGTGGTTTGGAAAGCTCTGCTTTGCAATCCCATCGTCACCCAGAAGATAATCGCCGCCCTGTTTAATTAAATCAAATTGTTCAAATCGTCGTATTTTTCTAAAAAGAGACAAGTATGATGAGAAAATTAAATTTTCATGTATTTTTAAAATTACCTTAAGCCACTTGTGTGTTGATCTTTTGAATCCGGTAGCGAAAATAATAGTATCAAATGGATGTGATTTGCCGTTTACAAAGACCACAACATTGCTTGATACGTTGGCTATTGCCGGCAAGACCTGGTGATACATACATATGCAAATCGACAAAATAATGTGAAAAAGAACCATATTTTCTGTTCAATGGTCACATACATGTTCAACCAGACACCGCCCACCCCCGTGGGCTGCTGCATAACAAAGGGTCGACAAATTCAACATGGCATGTGGGTTGACCTGTTTAGCCCGGCATGATTGCCATCACGCAGTTGGGCTTACTATGGGCTGATAATTTTGAAGTTAGGCCCGATAATTGGAAGAGCCGAAGTATTGACCCAACAATAAAATATTCACAAATTTATCCCATTGAACCAAAAAAATCTACAGTTAAAAAAAATATATCTATGAAGACCATCCTAATGGATAGATCATTGGGTTTAGGTGGGCTGTATGCATGTAAAGGTGGCTTTGGTTTCTTGCAATACGGTGGAGAAGTTTCTCTTTCCGTGAAAGTGGGTAACAATTATTCTAATAGCAATAAAATGTTTACCAAATTATTTATTAAATTTTGTATTCTAAATTAACGTAGATAGTTGGATTAGTGAGATCCAGTAATTTCCACCAAACATTCAATACATACATTTTGACACATCATTTGAAATACGATATTTGATAAATAAATTTAAGAAAATATTTTTATTCTCATTATTTTAATTCCCATTGTACCCATAGTTTTTCCCCCACGTCCTTTCTCCTCAATCGTCACATATACCTTCATTTATTGAAAATATATTTAGGTATCAAATTTGATATTATGGTCACTGAATTGGTAATGGATTTCAATAAATACTAAAATTCATAGTTAAATCAATAGTAATAATTGATTACGTCAACAAATCAATCCAGCATTTTAAGCTTAATAACATTACTCTTCATTTATATTTCTTCCCTCATCTTTGTCATCTACCTATTGTTCCCCTATGCAAAAATTAAAAAGGTTAATTTCTTAAGTACAAAAACTTTCATCCAAATTAAACATATGCGAGAATTTTTTTTTTTTTTCTTCTTTACTTCCACTTTATTTCCTATCATGTTTTTCTTTTCCAACCAAACGTACCCTATAAGAATTCACGTGAAACATTATGCTGCAATTCCCATCTGATAACAGTGAAAGAAAGACCAGAAAAAGGAAAGCGGGGGGGGGGGGACTACCTGAATCTGACCGGACTTTATTTTCTTTGTGGTTCCCAAGTCAATAACTGGATACTTGGCATACTTTACTTTCATTGTGAGGGGTCCCTCTTGGGGCCTCTCAATCCCATACTTGCTGAGGTCCCCATACACTAGCCTGCTAAGCAACACCAACAAAGACTCCACCATCTTGTAGGGAATATACCTCAGTAAAATTGATGCCATGTACATCATTCCCCTTGAGATAACGTGAAGCTGCAAGATTCAAACACCACCACACACGTAAGGCGTCACAGTACAAACACAAACAAAAACCTCGGATAACATTTCATATAGATACCACAATTTTTTTGGTCTTAAGTTGACCCCATAGAGTCAAAAGTGATTTTTTTTTTCTTATCATAACTTAACTCCAAATTATTATTTACTCTTGTGAGTTTAGATTCAATAACTTTATCGTGTTTTAGTCTTACTCATACCTAAATGAAAATATAAATAAATTATATATAGATCTAAAATTAGTGAAATAACGATACTACTATTTAAATTTTATTTAGTGATCTAATTCCCTGAATTTATGTATTATAGTTATTGAGATAGTAAATCTCATTTAATACTAGAGTTAATTGTCAATTTAACGATAATAATTACCAAAAAAATGAAACAAAAGTATCCCGTTTAGATTTTTATGTATATTCTTTTATCTAACATTACTTTAAATAAAGGATTTAATAGTAGTTAAGTATGCATTTTTTTTAATCATTTTAGTCCTCATTGTATCTATTTTGTCAATTTAATCCTCAAATTATTTAATTCGTGTAATTTTAGTCTTTACATAGATGAATTGATAAATTTTTGACAGAATGATCACGTGTTAAGTTTGTGATATCATCTAAAAAAACGACAGGTGGTCACTTATGTCAAAAAACTTGATGAATTGTCTAATTAAAGATCAAGTGACACGAATTAAATATTTTAGGGACTAAATTGACAAAATTAATACAAAAAGTACACTGACAAAAAATATACTTTAGCCCTTAAATAAATGAGTAATGCTATTTAACCCTAAAAATTTGACCTCATTTTTTTATCTTAATTTTGTTGAAACCATCGGAGGAAGAATGAGTTCCTATGTTTAATAAGGTCAATAAGGAATTGCTGATGAAATAATTACCGGGCTTCGTACAACGATGGAAGTCTTGGCTCCATAGTTAGCTAGGTCAAGTGCAATTTCCATACCAGAATTTCCGGATCCAACAACCAAAACGCTTCTATTACGGTACTTCTCTCCATTTTTATATCCAGTCGAGTGAATGACTTCCCCGGTGAAAGTATTCAAACCTTCAACCTCCGGGATGAATGGATCGCTCGTTTCTCCAGTAGCCACTACTAAATACCTACCGGAATATTCCTCTTTCTCATCGGAACTCAAATTCCTCGCCTGAACGCACCATTTCTTGGAATCTTCCGCGTAAACGGCGGATTCGACGAATCTTCCGTACAAAGGACTGATCTGAAAATGAGAAACATAATCATCCAAGAATTGTATAAACTCCGTCCTTGAAACGTATCTAGGAAAAATAGTCGGAAATGGCATGAGAGGTAGCTCACAGTATTGCTTTGCCAAGTGAAGATGAAGGCGGTCGTATGAATATTTCTTCCACAATGAAGCGAAACAATCTTCTCTCTCCAGAATTATGTATGGGATTGAAAGGTTTTTGAGGCATGCGGCGGTGGCAATGCCAGTTGTTCCTGCTCCTACTACGATAACTACTGCTTCTTGCGCTTCCATGGCTGATGGTCAGGTCTCCCGATTCACTCTCTCTTTTTTGCTACCAAAGACCAATGAGAAAGCAGGTTGTAAACATTAGTGGGGGAAGGCCTGAAAAATTAACTACGAGAAGCCGTGCGTGGTATAAAAAGATACTTATGTGGTTGTCTTATGAGATAAGGTACTAAATGGGTGGTATAAGATTAAAAAAACCTTCTGAAGATATTTGTGTGGTTGGTGATAATGCACAACTTGAATTTAATTAAATAGTAAAAAATGTAGCAATTGATAAGTGAGAGGTATGGATAAAAGTAAGATAAGGTTTATAATGGTTCAGTCCACGTGATCTACGTCCACTTTGAATGACTTGAGTCGTTGAGTATTTTATTAACTCAAGTATGTAGGGAGAGCAGAGAGTTACAAACTTAGAGGGAGGGAAGAGTGTTATGCTCGATTGAGTGTGATGCCCCCCAAGTGTTGGCGGGACTTATAATTTATAGTCGTCTCATAACGGATTGAGGTGATTTAATAGTGATTAAATAGCTAATCTGGTAGTTATAACGAATTAGAGCGTTTTAATAGTAATTAAATAGCTGATCCGGCGGAGGTGGCGACCTCTTCTCAACGAGCGAGGCAGTTATGGCGCTATCCATGAGATTTGGTCAAAGATGAGGTGAAGATTGACTCTTTCTAAGGCAGCGAGGATGAGGCCTTGAATGACCTTACAAGCTCCCTGCTGATGTAGCTCGTTAAACTTGATGAGCTTGACCGGGTTGATCACATTGGGCTGGACTTGGCGAATCTCTTGGAGTTGGGCTATAAACTCGGATCGGATTTATAATTTTAACTGGGCCCTTGGGCTTGACCCATCATTTGCCCTCCAATACCCTGCGTCTAATGTAACTTAGAAAGAAGGGCATTCAGTTTGAGTTTGAATTTTCAGCTGACTGGCATAACTGAAAAAACTTCAGATGGCCAAAACCTGTGCTTTTAGACCTTTTTTGAGCTTTTAACAACGTCTAACAAAGCCGAGGTCTATGAGCTTTGTAGAGCTCGTCGAGAGTTTCAAACAAGGAGTTGGGCCCGCGATTTAGGTGAACAGGCAACCTTTGGGCCAGCAGGCAATGTTCTAGGCGAGCAAGCAGCTGAATTTTTATTTTTGATTTTTGAAAAAACTTCAGGAGGTCAAAACATCTGTTTCTAGGCCAAAACATCTACTTCAATTATTTGTATTCATGCCAAAATATTTGAATTCACATCCAAAATTAAATTACAAAGATAGAGAAAAGAGAAAAAAAATTTAAACACCGGTTGTAGTAGGGGTGAGTGGTGATAATGGACGTGATAGGCGGTGATAGTTGTGGTGGGTGGCGACAATTGTGGTGGTGATGGCAATCGTGAGTTACAATAGTGATGGTGGTGGGCGACAATGATAGTGATTGATAGTGACAATGATGGATGACAATGAGCAACGGGTGGTGGTGAGTTGATAGTGGGTGATGGCAGTGGATGACGGTGGTGGGTGGCAGTGAGCAACGGGTGGTGGTGGATTGTGGTAGTAAGTGGTGGTGGGATAATGGTGGTAATGGTAATAAATATAAAAATGAGATGATGATAATGGGGTGGTGGACAATGGTGGTAGCAATTGGTAATGGGTGATGACGATGGTGGTGAGTGATGGGCGGTGGCAATGGTAGTGGTGGTGGTTGTGGCAGAGATGGTGATGGGGTGCCAACGATGGTGGTGATATTGGTGATGGTGGTGGGGTGGCGGTAGCGATGATGGTGGCGGCGACGGTGGCAATAGTGGTGATGGTGGTATGAATTGGGCGGAGGCAATGGTAGTAGGGTGACGACAACGATGGTGGGATAGTGGTGGGGCGGTGAAGGGTGGTGGTGGGGTGATGGGAGTGGTAGTAGTGGGGCCATTCAAAATACTATTTTTTTTAAGTACTTATTATAAGCATTTTTGAAAAGTCACTCCAAACACACTTTTAAGGAACTTATTATCCTTATTAAATTTGATGAGTTAATATTAGTTATCAGATTAATTTTAAAATAAAATTTAAAACGATCTGAACTGCAAAAAGTAAAAGTCATTTTATTTATCTTTTGAGATTTGAATTGTATTGTATTTTATTATATAAATATATAATATATTTTTAATACTACCTGGTAGATGGTAATATAATCCATTCTGAAAGTAATATGTTATTATTTTACTATTTTATCCCCAAAACTTGTGTAACCCACACAATTCATGCCTCCCCTCACAACAACCTTTTCATCATGTCATGTTTCTTCTCTTATATCTCTACTTTTGTTCTCCACAAACATTCATCCCCTTTGCTCGGTAGAGATCCTTTCCATATTTTATCCATCATCAACCAAGTAAAGTAACTTTTTTGGTTATTGATTGTTTGAATTTACTATAAATTTATGATTATATAAATTCTAGTAAAAAAATAGTACAAAAAATTAGATTAGTTCAAATTATTGGTATTTTAGTCAATGTGATACTAATACCACGAGATTCATGACTAAACAAATGTAAGATTAGACAAGATAATTGTTATCTCATATATGGAACTTAACTTGATGTCATACAATACGTAAGATAGAATACAAAGTATTTTTATCTATTACTCAATTTTGTATTTTATCCATTTATTATAGGGTTATTAATTCAACCCCCCCCCCCCCCCCCCCCCCCCCCTTTAGTCAATATGACAACCAAACAAGTTAAATCCTTCAAGACCTAAAAAATAATTTATATCTTTCACATTTCAAATCATTTATAACAAAATTATAAGTGATCCAATAGCCAAAAATTACTCCCGTAAGATTGATTTTTCGCCCAAAACTTAATTGAATCTTTATACAAATGGCACTTACATGGCAGTTGATGAAGAATATGCAATTCATAAGGGTATAAATGTAAATTAACATAATAACCTTTTCATAGTCAACCATTCTCTCTTATTTTTCGCCTACATTTGGGCAGATAAAAAATAGTGGCTTAGAGGAAACTCTTTCCATTTGCTTTTCTTTCTATCCATTTTTTCATAATTGCCAAATAATAAAAAATAATTTTTTTCCTCCCATTTTCTATTCTTACTTTTCCATTCACCTAATTTTCACTCCTGATAAAAAATAGTGGGCCACTACTAAAAACCTATCAAAATATTCCTCTAACTCATTGGAACTCAAATTCCTCGCCTGAACGCACCATTTATTTGAATCTTTCGCGTAAACGATAGATTCGACGGATCTTCCGTACAAAGGACTGATTTGAAAATGAGAAACATAATCATCCAAGAATTGTATAAACTCCGTCCTTGAAACGTATGAAGGAAAAATGGTCAGAAATGGCAAGAGAGGTAGGTCACAGTATTGCTTTGCCAAGTGAAGATGAAGGCGGTCGTATGAATATTTCTTCCACAGTGAAGCGAAACAATCTTCTATCTCCAGAATTATGTATGGGATTGAAAGGTTTTTGAGGCATGCGGCGGTGGCAATGCCAGTTGTTCCTGCTTCTACTACGATAACTACTGCTTCTTGCGCTTCCATGGTTGATGGTCAGGTCTCTCGATTCACTCTCTCTTTATTGCTACTAAAGATCAATGAGAAAGCAAGTTGAAAACATCAATTGGGGAAGATATTTTGTGTGGCCTGAAAAATGAACTACAAGAAGTTGTGTGGTTAGAATAACCTTAGGAAGATAACATCCGGAAGACAAAAGCCATTCGGTATTATGTATATGATTGAATTTGAAGAAGTAATTGGTACGAATTTGAACATCTTATAGCAAAATTTTTTTTAAATTAAATATGCATTATAATTGTACTTGTTATTACTCATATATAAAGATACGAAGTAATAAAAAAATAATTAACAACAAACATACTTGTATTTAAACCTAAAATTGAATTTCAAATATAGAAGAGAGATGAAGGAATTTAAGTATCGATTATAGTGAGAGTGAGTGATAGTAATATTGGTGGAAAACGGTGATGGTTGTGGTGCGTGTCGATTATCGTGGTAACAATGACAACCGTGGGTGGCAATGGTGATGATGGTGTTGGGTTTTGGGTGATGATGATAGTAGTGATAGTCATGGGCGACGACGACGATGGTGGTGGTGGGTATGGGTAGTGGTGGACGACGATGATGGTAGTTGACAGTAATGGTGGTGGGGGTGACAATAGTGGTGGCGATGGTGAGCGACGACAAATGCTTTTGAACGACAGTGTAATGAGTGGTGATGTTGGTGGTGGTGGTAAGTGTGGCGGGGGTGTAAGTGACAATGAGTGGCGACATTGGTGGGCGATTACAAGTGGTGGGGGTGGGTGACGACAGGTGGTGGTGAGTTGTGGTAGCAGGTGACGGTTGGTTGTTGTAGGAAACAATGGTGGTGGTGGGTACTGACGGTAGTAATGGGATGATGGTAGTAGTAGTAATAAATATAAAAATGAGATAATGATAGTGGTGAGTGGCAGCAGTGGACAACGATGGTAACAATAATTAGTTAGTGGTAATGGTGGTGACAGGGTTGGTGGTGGGGGTGATGGTGGGATAATAACGGTGGTGGTAAGATGGCAGTAACAATGGTGATGGTAATTGTGGCGGTAGTGGGATGGTGGCGGTGGGAGTGGTGATGGTGGCGATAACAGGGGTGACAGCGATAGTGATTATGACATAGGTGGTGGTGGGGTGGCGGCGGTGGTAGTGGTGATGATGGTGGTGGTAATGGAATGATGGTAATAGTAGTAATAAATATAAAAATGAAATAACAATGGTGGCGATGGATGACGGTGGTAGCAATCATTGATGGGTGGTGATGGCAGTGAGGGTGGTGGTAGAGGTGATGGTGGGACAACAACGATGGTGGTAGGGTGGCGGTGGTGGTGGTAGTGGGGATGAAGGTGATGGGGGTAGTGGGTGTGGGAGTGGTGGGGTGGTAGCAGCGGTGGTGATGGTGGGATAGTGATAATGGTGGTTGGTAGGTATGGTGGTGGGGTGACGACAGTGTTGGTGGCGGCGATGGTGGTGGTGATTATTCTGACAGAGGTGGTGGTGGGGTGGTGACAACTGCAGTTGTCGTGGGACGGTGGGGGTGGGGGGTAGTGGTGGTGGTGGGACGATTCCAAACACTATTTTTTTTAAGTA